AATGTTACGAAGTTTGGGAAGAGGGATGTTTGAACACCTCCCTATCTGTCCTTGAAGAGGGGCAGCTGGGGTGGCTCCCACCAGGAGCTGGCAGCAGTGCTGCACCCAGGAGCATCTCCCCCTTCTGCATTAAGCTGAAGTTATTTGCTTTTGATTCTGTTGTTTGTGCAGACCTTGCTGTACATATTTAGTGCCATCTTCCTTCTTCCTGACCTAGTGCCAGCGATTAAGAAGATGCTGATGCTGTCAGCTTTGGCACTTGCAAATTGGGCTCAGAGCATCCCATCGGCGTGTGGGAAACACTGGCGTGGTGATCATGGACTGTTTGAAAAGAAAGCCCATTGGCCCCTGTTCCCACTTAAAATCCCTACCAAACTCCTAACCTGGCGGCAAGAACACTATAATAAAGGTAAGACTTAAATCATGCTTAGTGCTTTCTGTTGTGGGATGGGATGTTTGAACTGTCTTGTCAAGTTAAACTACCTAGTTAAAAAAAAAAAAACAAAAAACAAAAAACCAAAAAAAGATCTCTTAATAGGCTTTTAAAACATTCCTCTCTTAATTGTTCGTTTAAGTGCTCTTTGGCACTTTGAGTCTTTTAGCCCCCAGAGCAAAGGGACAGAGGGGCAAAAGCTGCTAAGGGCAGTTTTCAGGCTTGAAGGGGTCATGGAAGCACCCCCCTTGGAAACAACCTCGCCACCTCTGAACTTCCTCCATGACGGTTTCTCAGCATCCTGCCTGAAGGGCCATGTTGTAGCTGCCTGAAGAGTGTCTGGGGAGTGTGGTAGCCGCTTGGCCTAGTTATCCCCTGGCCACTCCTCCCACCTATGGTCTGTGCTCTGCAACAGCATTTGTCTCAAGCAGCAGCTTTAGCATGAGCTAGGGCTCAAATAGCAGCCGAGGTGCCCAGGCAAGCTTAGAAGTGGTGTTACGGCAGCATCCTGCCAAGAATGTACGCGCCACAGGAACTAGATATTCATGTGTCAGTGGGACAGCTGCGCAGCAATCCAGAGGCTAGCGGCAGGAGGTGCCTGCTGGATTTGGATGCGGGAATAGGATGTTGCTTACAGAGATCCCTGCCGAGCCCCACAGCTCTGTGCTGGTGGTGACCGCACCGTGCCGCACTGGGTCACCTGAGCTCTCCCTGGAAGACCTGCCATCGCAGGCTGTAACACACTGATGGCTGAAATGTTCCCCAGCCAGCCTTGTCTGGGGGTGTGCATCTGCTCCATCTGTCTTGATAGCATGTTCTTCCACCTCAGGGTCTTTCCATATGTCCCGGGGAGCTTCCTTGGTGCCTCTGACTTACTCTCTGCTTCTCCTTCTCCCGGCTTCGGTGACACTGCATCGAGTTACGGCTTCTGGGCCTATGAATCTATCGCTCTGAGTGCTCCTTGTAACAGGCATCAGTCTTAACCTGCTAATGGCAATCACAGCCCCTTGCTCATGGGATCATGCCAGGACACTTCATCTGACACAGCTATTAGAGTTCATGGGACAAAGACTCTGCTTTCAATATTGCGAGGCTATTCAATACTGTGAGGCTTTTCTGATCCACCCAATTCTGATATTAGGGTTTTTTTATCTTTAAAAAGAAGCAATTGTTCCGTATTCTTGTCTTTATTTGGTGTAATCACATCACTCCCACCACTGAAACTCACTTCCTGCTGTTGGGTACATTGAAGCTATTATTATTTATTTTTCCACAGGCCTCTCTGTCTCTAATTGCCTTGTGCTGATGTTATGCGAATACATGGAGTCTGTGCCTCCTTCAATATCTGCCACATGCTGGGCCTGTTGTAGACATAGTACCCCAACACATTTTTCAGGTATTTCTTGCTATTATTTACCTCTCTCTTTCTGATCCTACTGCTTTTGGGTGTGTGACAAAGCTGTTTTTCATGGGGGCAGAAGGGCAGAAGGACAGAAAGCATATGCGTATGCAAGGACATTTAGAAGTACCTTTTACTAGTGGTGGTTACGCTTGGTAACATCTTGTGGGTATTGTTGCTCTTTTTCTAATGGAAATCAGTGAGAGTTTTGCTGCAGTAAGGGTGGTAGAGACTGATGGTGCAGAAAAAGAGTATCACTGTATGCTCATAATAAATAGCGTATGTGGTGGTGGTGCTGCTGCTCTGGCAACAGCCGTGTAGCTCTTGTGCTTAGAAATTTCTGTTTCTTTTTTTTTTTTATTTGCCAGACATTGAAATTTTCCATTGTGGGAGGTCTCTCGTAAACTTGTTTTGTTTGGAGGAGAGTGGCAAAAACATTTCACATGAAATGGAGAAACATTTAATGAAAAACGAAAGGGGCAAGAATATCTATATGAATGTATTTTGATGTATTTTTTTTAAAAATGGCTATATTAAAGCCTTGTAAGAGTTCCAGTGACACTGTTCTTCTGAGCCCTGAGCTTGCAGGTGCTGGCCTTTGCCCATCTACTGTGCTACCAGTGCAATTGGTGCTTTGCAATGATTATTCCTCTTTGAAAATTAAAGTGCTGCCTTGATGGACCAGAGCTCTCAGCAGAGCGGTGCTCTGGAATTATTCACTTGTTCCTGCTGGATTTTGTGCTTATCCCTTTTGGAAATCCTAAAGCACCCAGAGCATGTTACTATGGAGCCCTGGGGACCAAACTCGGCAGCAGCCCTGGTTCCCTGCAAAGCCCTCACGCTGTGGATGCGTTGTATTTCCCAGCAGTTTCATTGCCTAGATGACGCAGGAGCGTGCATCTCTGCAGCTCTGAGAGGAGCCCAGCCCTCCAAGCAGGGCTTTTCTGGGCTCTCGTCCAGTAGTAAATATGGAAAATTCTGACCGTTAATCCTGTCCGTTTTTAAGCTGTTCATGATCTTTTAACTTTCTAAACAAAAATGAACAAACCTGGTTATTTTATAACAGATTCTAATTGGAAAAAAACAACTGGTGTTCCAGGTCCCCCAGTGAAGGTACCTGGCAGCTCCCTACACAGCAGAGCTGCCATCTATAATTCAGACCCCACCAAAGATCAGAGAAACACTGACCTCTGACTTTTAAGAAGAGCTCGCTTCAATTCTGATCTGGATAGTTTGTATAAATTACTTTATGCGAACAGTAACAAGGTCCTCTGTTTCCTGCCTGCCACCTGCATTATACCTGCCCCCTTAAGCTGTGAAATACATGAAGTGATAGAAGAATCACTGCATTTTCCAAAGCTTGTCTGATTCCCATGCCCCAGTAAACCTCCTAACTGCATGAGAGCACTCTAACAGTCTGCATGCTCTGAAGCATAGAGCCAGACAGAGCTCGGGATACAGTCAGCACAGCTTGGGCAACACAGGGATAGAACAAAGATGCTCGGCTGCTATCTATCTGAAGAGGAAGGAAAAGGTTTCTAATTATTTAAACACTCTGGATCCACACTTACAATTACCAGAAACCTGAAATTTGTTTTTTCAAGTTTTCCATGTTTTCAACCATCAGGAAAGGAATTCCTAGATTCTTTCGTCACTGCAGTGAAGCTTAGTGAGTAATACAACTGCCTTGGCAGTTTTCCTCCAAACCCAGCTATGAAATAAGTTGCTTGGCTTGAAATCCAAGGCCTTGTTTTCCTCTTTTCGACTAATGACAATCTGTATCAGCTGGGCCATACAACCACCTGGGTCACTGCCAGCCTGCTTTAGGAGGAAGGATAATGAGGCAGTACGATCATATTAGCTACGATTTTGTGCTTGTTCCATTTAATCAGAGCAGCTTTATTGTGTCAGCCTAGCATGAAGAATATATTGTCACATAGAAGCTCAACTCTGAAACAACAGGTGAGGATGGATTCTGAAATACAACTGTTAGTCATACCCTTTGCTTAATTTAGTATGGCAAAACCAGATCAGGTAGTTTTCAACTATTTGTAGCTTTACTGTGGAAAACAATGCTGCCTGTTCAATACAGGCAGCATTATGTAACTCCCTCTCTCTCTCTCTCTATATATATAGTTAGATATTATATAACTACTTTCTAAAAGCATTAGCCATCTTCTGAATTTCCGGAACAGGAAGAACATAACCACCTTTAATTTTTGCTTCAAAACGGATCGATTTTTCTCAGAAACAGAATTTCACGGCAGCACTCTGGCATTATCCAGTGCCCTAGATCAGGGGCCAGGACTTCAGATGGTTTATTTCCACTGAAGCATATAAAGCTCAATACATAGGACCTTGGAAATAATCCTTAGCCTTGCAGCCAATTACAGTCACTGCTTGTAGCTACCTCTGAAACAACAAAATGACACACATCAACATAGCAAAGATTACGCAAGAAGCTGCTGCATCCTCTCCTCTCCCTGGCCCACCCCTCGGAACAGCACATTGAAAAATCGCAAAGAAGACCCCAAGGCTCCTGACGACATTCATCTCCCCTTCTGTAGTTTTCATTTAGATGTAGGTAGAACAAGTGGGTATCATGCGACTGTCAATGCATTGCTTTGTGCTTTGTAACTCTCTAAATAGTCTGTCTCAGAGATTTGCCTCTGATTAAAAAACCACCAGGAAATTAAACAATTTAGTTGGCACGATTCAGCCTAAACTAGCAGATCTGTTTAAGACCAAAGTTCAGCAGCAGAGCCTACATAGATCCTCATTTTATGATATTAAGTACGTAAATGAGTTCACCACTGTGCTACAACCAATTAAAGACTTGGATAAATCACACAGAAAAAAAAACCTGCTGTAAAACTTCATAACCCTGTTGTTAAACAATTAAACTTTTATTAAATATTGCATATATATTAGCAGAAGGAGCTGGTACTTCCAGTCACAAGAAGCTCTAGTGTTACTTGTACCAATATGGTTAACACTGATGTCACCGTCATACTGGCCAAAGGGCTCAGTCCTTTTCTACTTGGACTCTGACGCCATGCTGAGCAGCTCTGATTTCTAGCAGTGGAAGGAAAACTGCAAATCAGATGATTCTCCATGCTTGTTTTTAATTAGAACTTAAAAAAAAAAGGCTGGAAAACTATAACCATGCTCTGTTAAACAGGGTACAAAATCTTTATTCATCAATAAGTTACATGTTCTTATAAATAGATGTTCTTGTACTTCGCACACTGCATGTAGTACAAAGCTAAACTTCAATTATTCCTCAGACTCTGACCCTTCTTCGTCTTGGCTGATTTGGAAGTAGCGTAGTTCATACGTCTCCTTGTCAGATGCAACAACACGAAGCCAGTCACGCAGATTGTTCTTCTTGAGGTACTTCTTGGTGAGGTATTTTAGGTACCTTAAAAATAGTAATTATATGTTACAACTCTCTCATTTAACAACCCTTACTGCTGTCTGCACTCCACCCAAGACATGGCTCTAGCAGGGAACAACACACTGAGTGTATCCATCCATTAAAAATATAACAGGGTATTTTCATTCCAGGTATGTACGAATTTGTTATTTGATGCTTTCTGACTACACAGCACAATGCCAGTAACTCAAAAGCACTGAGATGTGGTTCTAAACCTTGGTCTAACAGAACAGATAGTGGTGTATCGGTATCAACAATTGAAGGGGGATTGCAGGGAAGTAACAGCTCATCAGGAAGGAACCTCTCGTCAGCACGCACATCCATTGCACACCCAAACACACTGAGCAGTTTAATGTTTCATCTGACTCAACAGGTTCTTTTGCAACGGCACGTACTGTGTACACCCACATTTTAATACAACCAAGTAAGTAATGAAACAGCCACCCACGGTATGAATTCAGCATGGCTTTTAAAAGCCTGTCTTTCCTTGACACACTTCTAACAACTTACACAAAGCATCTCCGTATTAGTTTGCTTATATTATAGAGTATTAATTTGCACTCAAGCCTTGAGTTTTAAAAAGCAGGGGGATTTTAAATATCTAATGCTAGAGAACTGTTTGAATTACGTCTTTCACAAACGTTTACAAGCACTATGAAGGTTAGAGCCAAGACCTCCTCTATATGTATCGAAAGCACATCACGTTCAATATACCACTGTTCAAAATCACGAACACAATAAAAGGAAACATATGCCAACCTTTTAGAAAACTGTTTCTCGGATGTCACTGTGATCTTGTTCTTCAGGCGTTCAATATGAACAGTGTTACCCAAGTTTCCAGTTTTTCCATTGACCTTAACCTTCTCCTTTAGGAACTGTTCCTGTTTCAACATTAAAGAAATAGAACACTAGGGAATGGGACCCTAGGTGTGAACTAGGGAAGGGACCCTAGCCATACAGCAACATTAAAAATCAGTGTTTACTGATGTCCTAACAGCAAGTATTTAAAAAGCAGTAAGATTCTACAGCGTGCAATTAAATAAGTCACCCCCGTGCTAAAACAGTAATTAATTTAAAACATTGACGGGTATAAGCCATCTTAATTATAAAACATATCTAAACCCGAGGAACTTTCGAAAGTGCCGATAATTTAAAGGACAGCTGTTGATTTTTACTAATTTAGAAGGCAGCTTTTCAGCTGGGATCCGGCTATCGCACCGTACTAAGGCTTTTACTATACTGCGCACCACGAGTACGAACAAACCACGACTTACAAAATTCCCAGAATCGAAGATTCCATCTTCCACAGGATGGGTCAAGTCAAGGCAGAACTTCCAGGTTGATTTTTTAGATTTTCTGTCCTTTTGCTAAAACATCGGAAAAACACCCATCGTTATCCACGACACCCTTTACCAGCGCGGACGGAACACGGCAGAGGGCCGCC